ACACGCCCACAGACATGTCAACACACGCCCACAGACATGTCAACACAGCCACACAGACATGTCAACACAGCCACACTGACATGTCAACACACGCCCACAGACATGTCAACACAGCCACACAGACATGTCAACACAGCCACACAGACATGTCAACACACGCCCACAGACATGTCATAACACGCCCACAGACATGTCAACACACGCCCACAGACATGTCAACACACGCCCACAGACATCGCCCACAGACATGTCAACACACGCCCACAGACATGTCAACACACGCCCACAGACATGTCAACACGGCCTTACCTTCCATGACAAACCAACAAACTAAACTAGACATTTGGGCCAGGAAAACCAAAAATACTATTCTCAATAAGCACAAATTACAAATCCAAAAAGTTTTTTTTTTAGAGTCCATTCTCAGATTTGTTTTTAACTCTGTGAAGGATCTTCTGTCAGTTACTTTGTCTAGACCTGCATGTGAGCCTCAACTAGATTGTCGGAAAATTTTGCCCCCCCCCCCCCATAACTTATAAGAGCTTTTATTTGTGGGTGTCATAAAAGGTAGTACTTCCAAGTAACGAGCGACCACCCCAACAAATATAATAAAAGAGACCTAACCCTAACCCAAACCCTACCCCCCAAAAGAACCTGCTACGGCCCTCATGTAAAAAGGCCAGCACAAGTTTAAAAAAAGCACACTCCAAAACAAACAAGGAACATAATAATATGCCTTCGTTGCCTTGTTCTTAATAACAGGGTTTGATACAAAGATACAAGAGAATTGGAATAGGAATCCTCCATACAGTTATACATCTAGGAATCTAAATAAATCTAGATCTAGTAGAACAAGTGAATAGGAATAGGCCTTGAACGAGAAATTCGCACCCAATTCCGAACAGAGGGACTCAGCAAAGTCTAGATCAAGATCTAGATGTCTAGAATTTTAGATTCTAAGTAAATAATTCACGCACCTGATGAAATGCGTTTTACCAACATTAATATTACAGCACAGCCTATAATATAATTGGAATATGAATCCTCCATTGAGGTCTATAATGATCTATAAATCTCGATCTAGATCTAGAGTAGAACAAGTGAGTCCCACTTGAATGGATCCACATGATCTGAACAATCAGTCAACAAACAACATTCAAAATGGCCGCTCGAGCACGAAACTGAAAGTAGATAATTTAGGTCGTCCTACTTTTTCCTATTCGCATTTCTACTTAGGTTCCGACAATTATGTCGGAAACGCCGACGTCGGCAGTCGACGAGAAAACGAAAGTGCCGACGAAGCCGACGGGAGAAAAAGGGGACGCTGGCAGTCGGCCAGGCCTCGCACTTCGCACATTGACTGATACAGGTGGGCCTAGCGATAGCATCGGCCGCCTCGCGGGTCGCGATTGTCAGATTTCAGACGATTGTCGGCAAACATGCAGGTTTATTTGTCAGACTAGTTCAGCCCATGCATCGCCCGGCGCAAAATGATAATGAATGTGAGACAAGAACTACACAAAAGCTTTGTTATCCAGACATCTGGTCATTGAATACAGTCAAACCTTTGAAGATGGCCACTTGCATCTCCCCACCCCCACGTTTCCCCTTGATATTGTAGAACCTGCTATAACAGCTACCTGTACAAACGGCCACTTTTCATTTCCCCTGTTGCGTTTTTACTATAATTTCACCATGTCAAATGGTCACCTGTCCGACGCAGCAGCGGCTACTTTATTTTAACGATGACCATTCAAAATTACCTGTCTGAGATGGTTACCTTAATCTCTCACCACCCGACGTTTTGTCATAAATAATGTTTTGGCCCCTGACGCTGTGGATGAGCCGTCATAATCCATTCACCCGTTGTTTTTGTTAGTTCCTCCAATGTCCCATCATGTTGGGTAGGTCCCACCCTCCAATGTCCCATCATGTTGGGTAGGTCTCTCTAATGTCCCATCATGTTGGGTAGGTCCCTCCAATGTCCCATCATGCTGGGTAGGTCCCTCCAATGTCCCATCATGTTGGGTAGGTCCCTCCAACGTCCCATCATGTTGGGTAG